CTAGAATTCTTGTGTTGTTATTTTAACCTTCTTTCTAATAAATCTTAATCAGAAAAGAAGAGAAACACACACAGACACACACCAGCTATTATTACATGCATACACACACACACACACACATACAATGGGTGTGTGTGGAATAATAGCTGTTTAATAGTAGTAATGATTATTCTGTTTTAGTTTAGTGATTTTATTTCTTTGTTGTAGCTTATATCATGCAAAAATTGGAATGTTTTAGATAAGCTGCCTGTTATCACCTGACTATTTTTAACATAATCCCTTCTCCCAAATCAGTTTTAAGAAAATATTGTGCCAAATATGAAAAATCATTACAACCCCCTTGTGATTAATATATTATTGACAGCAACAAATTACAAAATTGTCTCCTAGGAATGAAACTGCAGAGTAAATGCTGCTGTTTATTAGTGTGCTTGCAATACATCAAATATTCCTCTGTAGAGGAATAAAAGGAGGTATCGCAGGGAGTTTTTTCTCTACCTTTTGTTTGAATGCATGCATTTCATTTTCCTTACAGGTACTGATTCAGAGTGCCATTAAAAAGGAAGTGTAATCACATGGTTTAATTTAATTTGATCCACTTAGGTCTATTCTACATTTAGTTGCTTTTGTTAAGGGAAAAATGGCTGGAAATGATTTATCAGAAGAATGATATTATGAAACATATCTTTTAAGCTAAGGACTCTATAAATTACTGATATGGTAATCTAGATATTTTTCTTTCCTACGTCAAGTGACTTTATTATGGTTTATCTATGTTTTGTGGAAATTTGTAATTTTATTTGAATGGCCTGAAAATCTATATAGGTCTGTTTTATAATTCATAAAATTAATTCCACTCCCAGCCATTCATACAAGTTTTAATTTCACCCACTACATACATGTTCATAATAAGAATGTACCTGGATCAGGTTCTGAACTCTATACTTTTCTAGAAATGTATATACATTTGAGAGGCTTGTAAACATATGCACTCCTCTGTCTATATGTATTGAACGTTTTTTAAAAGTTTATTAAAAAGGTATACATAGGAAAAGTACAGGGCATGAAGTCCAAGTTTTCAATCCCCATTACAATTATTAAATAGCATTGCTACAATTATATTAAGGCATGAGGGATAGAGAACTTTTTTCTAGTTTGCTATGGCTAAATTGGATGTGATGATTGCTTCACTCATATAAAATAGAAAGCAGATGAGTAAATTTTTACTCTTCAATTAAATAATATAAAATGATATCAAGGAACCTTATAAACCCATGCTTCATTAATCAAATTCTTTTTGCCTGCTTTGGAAGTTAATCAGGTTGTAGTCACTGGGCCATAGATCAAGGAAATGGGAATGAAAGGACTGGTTACTGTCTCTGTTATACCCATTTTGATGCTAAAACTATGCATCACCCTGCTATATCTGGGAAAAGAGGAACATATACAAACAAATATTTATGTTATCATTGTTATCTTGTATTTCAAGCTCACTCTGAAATGATTAAGTCTTGACAGTGGGGAATAGATTGGAAAGAACTGGGTATAGAAAGCTACATGGCAAATCAGTGAGATAATGATAGTGATAGTGATATTATAGTGATGACACGGATTTTGTAGTCAACCATTATAGTCATTATAGTCTACCAAAAAATAATATAAAATACTTGTTTTGGTCAGCAAATAATCCATAGGAGGCCCCACTTTTCCACTTTACTTCATTTAGGCAGATTTCTAGTTGAAGGTGTGAAAGGATGATCAAGAACATCCTTCAGGAGTGAAATTTATGAAACTGATAAAGTCTTTATCTTCCAAACTTTTTTTTTTTTAAATACTTATTGCCAAAGTGATCAGTCAGGTTTTCACACATCACTAAACCATATATTGTCTGCTTTTGGTTTAGTATTAATGATCCCAGTTATTGTAATTTGTAAGCTATAGTTCATAATCTAGTGTTAATATATGAATTATGCTGGTAAGCTTGCTAAACAAACTTACATGAATAACATGATGTGCGAAACCTGTTATTAGCAAGTTTTTGATGATTTTATGAACATTGTTCAGATGACCATGAACAATGAGACGTAGGCTTGCATAATCCTATTTCACTTTTAGTCTGCTTTGCTTGCCAGAGGAGCAAAAGAAGGGAGAGAGAGTTTTCATTTTAAAACTAACTTTGGTTCCTCTTGTCATATGAACCACAGGCCTGGATTTGTTAAATTAACGAATTGGAATAATGAACCCAAAGTTTGGTACCGGTTTATTATAATGCATTGTCATTTAAGGCAGAATTACAGTTTGTTCTAAAGTGAAAATCAGTACTGTCTCTCTCCTCTTATGTGAATAAAGAAGGGGAAAGTGGGAAATGGAATCCAACTTGCTAGAGCTTGTCCCATCTTGTAAAGCATAATTTAAGTCAGGAGTGGAGAACGTTTATAAGGGGCATCTTTTGCCTGGTCTTCCAAATATGTACTGTCCTTTCAGGGAATGCGATTATATCTTCTGTCTCCCTCTTAGCAGACTCCTTTTCGCTCCTACTCTCTTTTTCTCTGAATCCTGTTTATGTGCGCACCATAAATAACAGGGTTGGCAAGCACAACTCCATTTCCTCCCATGTCTATATTATTGTACAAGCTTGGATGATTCTGTGATGCCACAGTTTCAGAAAAACTTACATTATGTTATTACTTGGAAATCTTAAATTTGGCAGAGTTTAAAAAGGATATAGGATATTTTACCACCAGTTATAAGCATTAATTATAAACTGATCATTTTCCATTTGTCTCCTCTGCTATGCATAAAGACTCAGTCTTTCTTATTTTTAACTCTAGATAGGTTTGATTCCCAGGCTAAATGTGCAACAATTATGTTACAGTATTTTGATTTTTGGAATCAAAATGAATACCGTTAAGATTTCAGGGTAGAGAGCTAAAGAAACAATAAACTAAATTGTTGTGATGGCTGTAGAAATGCTGCCTGGAAGATGGTAATGTGCAGGGTGGGTAAAGTCTGGATACAACCCATTTTTTTAAAGGTTAAAAACTTTAAGAGGTGCCACTGCAACTTGTTCTAAGGGTAAAACTAAGTGAGAAGTGGGCCTTTGGTGATTGGAAGTCTCAGTATCTTTTTCTTTACAAATAACTACTTGAATCAGGACCAAGGTGCATGAGAACAGAAGTCGGGCTTTTCTTCCCATGCTCTTGTATTGGCTTGAGATGCATGTTAGGAAACAATATAGAATATACCACATAAATAATAAAATCAAAATAACCCCCAAACTACTATTCTCTTGATTTGTGAAATTTAATTAAAAATAAATAAAAATTACTAGAAGCAAAGAAGCAAGAACAGTTGGGCATTTCCCATCCTTCAAATGCTTTTTGCAGTTCTACATTTGCAGAACTTTCATATCATATTTATATGATACTAAATCTTTTAAACTACTTATTTTGTTAATCTTTTTGAGCATGCTCTTTTCTACTCCAAAATGCAATTATGCCATAATACTACCTCCTGAAACTAGACCCCATAAATAATAAGGTATAGTATAATTAATAAAAAGATACTGAATCAGAGCAATGGAGCAGCAAAAGGAAGAGCTATATTTATTATCGAATATCCTGTGCAATGTAGTTCAAGCTATGTGCTAGGTGGTTAAAAACGATTTGGCCACTAATATCTATTTTCAGGGGTTAAAAAATAAAAATACAGTATTTAAATACAAGTTTTCAGATAGACATGCTTAATTTGACATGTAATATTTTTAGTTCTTCTGCTCAGAATAACATTGCAATTGTTTCCTATGTGGATTTTCACAAAAGGATTAAGGACATGTTTCTATAAATATTATTAATTTAATGTATTTGCTTAGCTGTTGTTCTGTAGCAAGTAGCATGAATATTCCCAGATTCTTGGCTGTGTGGTCCCTGTTGCAGTTGGAAGCAGAATAGAAACATCTGAAAAGCATTATTTGGATTATACATGCTGGAGCATCTAATCTTACCTTTAGGATCCGGTTCCTAAATCACAATTCTTCTCACCCTTTGTATTCCCCAATGTGGCACAGCTTCTAGTGTACTAGAAACATAAGGATTCTTTCGATAATACCCAGTATAAATTAAAGTGACAACTGCGTGTAAACTGGAGACATATGGATTTTCCACAAAATTAATAGTGAAAGCAATTTTCTCCAGTTACATAAAATGAAAGATAAAGCTAGTCCAATAGTTTTTGTATATGAATACATTTTTACTGTTTGTGTTTGTCAGTTAAGAATTAACTACTGATAAATTTTCAACTACATTACCTTCTTTTGGAAGAATTTTGATTATTTTCTCTTTAGAACTCATTTACTTCTCTCTTTTTTTTTCTGGTTTCAGAGTATGATATCATCCATTGTAAATAGCACATATTATGCAAATGTGTCAGCTACTAAGTGCCAGGAGTTTGGAAGATGGTATAAAAAGTACAAGAAGATTAAAGGTAAATTGATTTTAATTATTATTCATTGCCAAGCCTGTTAACAGATCATGAATACTTGAAATTTGTTATTCTAAAATAATCAAGAGGTGTTTACAAAGGCTAGTTTATATACAGTATCATCAATATTTTTATTTTATTTATTTATTTATTTATTTATTTATTTATCATATTTATATAGCCGCCCGTCTCACACAAAGTGACTCCTGGCGGTATACAACAATTAAATATTTTTCCTGATACAAAGATCTTCTTTGGTTGAAGCAGCTACTGTATGATATTCAAGAATTTTTATAAGTATTCTATCTCAAGGTAAAAAAAGGAATATTTCAAAAGTGTTTTTTGTATACGTACTTAGTGAAAATATAATATAATCAAAGGAGCTACACAGCTTCAAGGCCGTTTATGGATCATTCTTACTTGTTGTAAGACAAAAAGGGGGAGCATCTTACTGTATTGGGCTATGGTATAAAAGCACCTTCAAACATTAAAAAGCTCTTCCTGTGGTCCCAGAGTTGCCACTGCAAGCACCAAGCATTTCTATCATATTATGGGCTTCTACTTCCTTTCTTCATTCAATTTTTAAAGCTTTTTTTTTTCTCCCACCCCTCACCATTTTTTTTTAGTAAGTGTACAGTTAATTGTTGAATATAGTCAACAAGCATAAGACCTTGATTTCAATCAAGATGTCAAGGATCTAAGCCTGAAGAGTTTTCTGGATAACTCCGTGTATACTGCTAAAGAGACTCTGCCTGTTTAAAACTCATGGAAATGTGTGTGTGTGTGTGTGTGTGTGTGTGTGTGTGTGTGTGTG